CTCACTCACTCACACTCACTCACTCTCACACTCACTCACTCACTCACTCACTCACTCACTCACTCACTCACTCACTCACTCACTCACTCACTCACTCACTCACTCACTCACTCACTCACTCACTCTGTTGCTGCTAAGTGTTTGATGTGGTGGGATGTGCGGCTACGTTGCTGATGCGGTTGTGGCTGCCTGTACGGATGCCTTGTGCCCGCCTCGCCAGCTTTGTTTCCCCTTCGTTGCTGATGGATGCGTTTGGATCCTCCAGCCTCGGCGGCTAGCTTTCGTAGCCCTGGCCCCGCCCCTCAAGCATTGCAGATACCAGGCAATGTGTGAATCAAGTAGCTCGGCCAGCCTCATGCAAGACCAATACGGCGGTTTTGAGAACCGTGAACTGAGTCAGATGTGAACCAGTACCAGATTGCGAACCCCAAGTGTGCCCGCTGTTGGGGAATCAGCTGCCAAAAAGCAAGGCCCAAACTGGCGACAAGCTGAGTGCATGACGGACTGAGCGGGAGCATGCGAGTGAGAACACCTGTTTGACAGACAGGGCACGCGGACCCACTTACCGACGAATGACTGCCTGACTGGCCCGCACCGTGAACTAACAAGCAGCATGCTTGGGTCTCGCGCTGGTATTGCGGCGCCACCTTTGCAAATTTCATGGCAGCAACTTGGTTGGCAAGCCCCACAAGGTGTGGAAGCCACCAACATTGATCCGCCCGCATATGCTCTGGCCTTTCTGCAGCGAAACTTAACTGAGAATCACGGTGATGTGGGCGAGTGCCGAGGGAAGCCATGCATGCTAGCTGATGTTCAGGAACAAATTCAAGATGCACAGTAATTTCTCATAATATATTTGTCGTTGCATCATCAATTGCCATCCTTTTTGCAGGGGGCTGGCGAGACCCTGTCCGGGCTGGTGCTTCCGGAGCCTCGGCTAAACCTCGGCCGCGCTGAGTCTCGCGGCTTTGCGGATCGCCTTTCTGTGTCTCTGCTTTAGAGGACATGGCCGTGGTGAACTACGCCGGCAGCGACGTCTGCTCCGCTGGCCCCTCGGACGCCTGCGACCGCGCCATCACCGCCACCACCGCTGCGGCTCGGCCGGGTTTGGTATCGGGAAGCGCGTGGAGGTAAGGCTTCTCAGGCAAAGGCCCTGACTTGGTGAGACGCTTAGTAAGGTGGGAGTGAGCGTCGGGATCCTGGGTGGCATCCTCACGGCCGTCTTCAGTGCCTCGAATTAAGGCCGAGGCCGCTGAAGCAGACTTTTTCGAGGATGAGAGGATGATGAGGTGAGGTTTCTTCCCTGCCTTTGCTGCCTGGCCGTGCTTAAGGTCCAGTGGTGGGAGTGCTGGGTGATCGTTTTGGTCGTCGTCCGATGCTTCCCGGCTCACCCGGAGCAGCAGCTTCGGAGTAGATTGATTAGATGCTGAAGCATCGGCATGTGCAGTTGCAACAGCTCAGGCTCATTGCTTGCCTCTTCGCCAGCCAGTTTGCAACTTTAGTGAGCCTCGGTAGTGACCCAAAGTGACCGTGTTGAGACTGCGTCTCCAGTCTCTTCGAGGAGATGGCTCCTGCTTACGCCAAGGGGTCTTCAGTGCGTCCAGCACAAGCGGCAAGCTGAGGAGCTGGGGAGTCTACTACTTCCAGTGGAAGTTCTATTGGTTCTTCGTGGCTTCTTTGATCCCGGCTTTCGTCCCAGCGGAGGCAGACCGTACGAAGAGCTTGTGACTTGAGCTACTTGCACCCGAGGCCCCTGGTCACCAGGTCAGTGTCTAGAGCGTGTTGAGCTGAACCGACACGGGTTTTTCATTCGGCGAATTCCACGGCAGAGCCGCATGCTGTGTTCAACTTGTTCTCTCGATGTCCCTGAGGTGCTGCTGTCGATGTGGATCTTGGACATGACGAGCGAACGGAACCGCGCGTCGGCCTACGGGCTGCTGGGCGCTGTGCAGGTCCTCTACGGCTTCACGGCGCCCCTGGTGCCCGGCTGAAGAGAAGCAGACTCTTTTTGGCGGTGGTAGGCTGGTAAACGAGCACTTGGCTTGCTGATCTGAAGAGAAAATTGCCCTGAGCCTGACGGTTGTCTCAGATGGTCGAGTTCACTGCGGCCTCTGCCAATCCCAGCCTCACGGCCACGGCCCTGAACATGAGTATCACGTGCAAGATCTCTGGGCTCTTTCTGGCGCCCTGTCCGCCCAAAGAGGAGGTCCTCCAATCTGCAGAAAAAAGCTGCTTTGTGGCGTTGTTTACGCGAAATCGAGGCGGTCCTCTTCTTGCCGGAGTCCGCTTCGATCGCTGCGGACGGGGAGGATCCTCGGCCAGGCAGGCAGAGACTGCAGAGGTGGTGACTGCAGGCAGCTGGAAGGCGGCTTTGTGTTCAGGTTCCTCGGAGGGAGGCGACTCCGTTTCCTCTCAGGGCGATCGTTCTCCGAAGAATCAGTCCTTCTACCACTGCAGCTCGGCTAGAAGAAGCTTCGCCGCGGAGGGTCTTCGCCCTTTGGCGAAGCTTCGACCTGAGGTTTGCTGCAGCTCCTGCAGAACCCTACGGCCAAGGCCCGCCTTTTTTCCTTCGCTCCGCACGGCTGCAACCTGCAGCTCCCTTGCTGCAGGTTGCGATGCTGATCTCCATCATCAGCTCCTTCATGAACATCGGGGAATCACAAGTCGCGACGCAGAGTCCAAGCGGCACTGACTCAACCCCTCATACCTACGCAATCCTACGCACCTTCAGCCTTCAGCTCAGGTACACGAAGAACAGGCTCAGCGTCATGGCGCAGGACCGCGCGGGTCTTCGGCTCTGCGGCGTGAGCGCCGGGCTCTTCGCGAACACGGTGCTCTTGCGGATGTTTCGGGGAGCCTTCAGTGTGAAGCTGCAGGTGCTCGTGTGCTGCTTGTTTGGGCTTTCGACCCATGTGATATACATTCTTGCCACCAGCGCAACGGCCCTTTATCCAGCCGCCATCTTGGGGGCTTTGGGGTCTTTGGTTGTGGTCTACGTGAGCACCTTGAATGCCAATGTTGCAACCATCTCTGGCATGCCTTTGGGCACGGTGCTGGGTGTCCTCGCAAGCGTGGGGCAGATAGGCATGATTCTGGGCCCGCCGGTCTTCTCCAGCGTCTTCTTGATATCAATGCGAGATGTCTTTTGGGGTCACTCCTTCCCGCAGCTGGCCTTCTGCTTTGGCATCGTCTTGAACTTAATCGTCGTGAGGCTCCTACTGGCGGTGCCCGAGGCTGCATACGAGGGCACACGTCCATCGCTCCCCCGCGAAGTATCACAAGATCCACAGGATGATCTCACGGCAACGCCCTGATCAAGCTGTATAAATCCGTGTCTGCGCTACCCTAGTCTAGGGAAGCAGTGCGGCAGCAGCTTGAAGGACTATGAAGCTCACAAGCGGCGATCACCTCCAATGACGCTCCTGACTCTCTGCCATTGCTTCGAGAGAAAGTGCATCATGCGGAGCCGCAGCGAGCTGGCCGTTCATCGAAATCTGTGGGGCTTCCCCATCAAGATAGCCCTAATGATTGATGTCATTTCAGTGAACTCCAGATAGATTGAGCATTCGAACGGCGGGGTCCACACTCACATGGCACTCAGCTCACAGAGTGGCATGAAGGATGGATGTCGTGAGGTCTTGAGCTAGGAAAAGCTACGCACTCTGGTTGTCGTCGACATACATACATCCATGCATACATCCATGCACACTTACATGCATACGTGCAGGCATATACACACACATTCACATGCAGATACATCTCCGCTCAAAAACATGACATGCGCATACGACATACACTTAACACCTGACCTTGACACTTACTCGCTTACTGACTCAGCTACCTACCTCCTTACTTTCATTCTCATGTACTTACTCGCTTGCTTACTTGCTTACTTACTTGCTGACACACACACACACACACGCAGAGAAACACAGACCCAGACAGCCACCCATTCACCCACCCACCCATCCATCCACCCAGGCTGGCTCTGATAGAGGCAGCAAGAACTCGGCATGGACTTGGTAAGGGCACAAGAGATTGCCTGTGTACCGCACACGGCCCTAAGCATCCAGCCTTGTCAGCGGCACCAGCCAAAACAGGGTGCAAACGGCCAAGGCAAGCTTGCATGTTAGTATGGGCAAGAAACACATCGGTATGTCGTATGCCATGCCAACAGGCACAATAAGAAAATTCGGACGCTACAGATGGGCCTTCAGGAATGGTCAGCGAAGCCAAAAAGTAGTTTCAGGAAATGTGCGGTCCGGGGCCAGGGAACCTGGATTTCGCAGCTGCCTGGGCTCTTTCCAGGTGCAAGAACGCCCTATTCTCACGCTTCCGCATAACTAACCGTACATATACCAATGGCACTGGCAGATTTGCAGCATTCTGCTGCCGCAGCTGTCACAGGAGAAGGGCTGAAACTGGTTGAAAAAGGAAAGCCCATGTTTCCAAGGCTAGATTCAAATCGCTGTGTGCAGGAGTGATCTTTCTGGCCATCTGCTTCATCCTTCGCAAACGCCCTCTTTCCGTCATTGTAATGACGTGTTTCTTGTCTCATGCAGCATGCATGTCAGTCAGTCCCGCAAGTGCAACTTGTATGACCTTAATTGCTACCGACTGAACCATCGTGATCGCAGGTATCCTAGGCTAGGTGACTGTTCAATAAAGTCTTTGCATAGTCAGGAGCTGTATAGACGAATCATGTATCTGAAGGTGCCTTGGGTCGCAAAACCTACTCGTCCGTCGCTGCTGACCCCGCCTCCAGCTGTCTGCTGAAAAGCGGGCAGCGGACAGCGTTCACTGCGTTCACTCCATTCGCACAATTTCGTCTGGACGCGTGTGGGAAAGGTGGAAAGCGCGATCTTGAGGGTACCTCTCGCCCATCAAAGCGTGCCTTCCCTGGGCTTTGCACTCCTAGTGCCGAAACACGCAGTGGCTGCTCTTGCTTTGATCATGCGTGTTGCTAGGTTCAGATATCTTCAGAACCAGATGATGGGTTTTCCTGGGGGACCAAAGCCGGAAGTTACACGTGTTCCGGTACCGCACTCGTATTTCATGAGTGGGAATTTGAAACCCGGGCGAGAGTGTTATGGAGGAGCACAAAGGGAGTGGGAACGTTGCGAGCTGCCGAAGGCGAGACGTCAGGCCTTGTCCACCCGCTCGCCTAAGGAGCAGTGGACCTTTCCCGTGCGCGCGACATACGATAAGCGCTCGCGATCCATACGCGTTGATGATCCGTCAGGGAATACACTTATATTATATAGTGCTCGGAACGACGATGCCCTACGAACCTGGGATCGATGACGAGAGCATCTTTCCATTCGATGCGGCCACGCTCCGTCAACAAAAAAACCAACGAGCACAAGACGCTGAGTTGCGAGCTGGTTCTTCCGACGCTGGCGGTGACGATTGCTGACTGGGAGGGCAATGAGAAGCCCCACTCCTGGATTTACCACATGATTGTTCCGAGGGACGGAGGGAGGGAGCCTCCAGATACTTTTCCCTTTCCGTGGAAGGATTAGGGGCGCACGCGGACAACAAGTTGGTTCTAGTGCTATGCAGAGAGAGAGAGCTAGTGTCTTGAAACCACTTGATTGAGAGGGAAACGGTTACGCAATCAATCAATAAATAAACAAATACATATATATATATACATATATATATATGTGTAACTGTCCCACCATGCCATTGCTGTAAGCACCTAGGCATCACTGATGTTCATTCTCTGACGGCCTGAGGGCGTCTAGAATTGAGGCTTGAAGGGCAGGGGAGGGGAGAATATGTGCGAAATAAATATCGGCAGAACCAAAGAATTGTTTCTTGCCTTCGGAAGCGAGCTTTGCTCATGCGTGTTTTAGGTCAAGTTTATTGAGCCTTATGACCACAACACAACTTACAAAGAGCACACAATCACTTACCTACGCTCGCGCTTGCAATGCACAACTGCCACTTCGCCACCCCGGCCCTGGCTTTCGCTCGCCCTCTCAAGTCGACACTCAAAGTGCCCTTCCAAGGCTTGTTCGTGGCCAGCTTGGTGGTCACTCAGATCTTAATGAGCAGGTTGAGTTCCTTCTACAAGCATCCAGGCCCATATGAGTTGGGTTCCGGGTGTGATCATGATGTGAGAGCCGAAAGCGTCTTGACCGCTCATGTCCAGGAGCTGTCACTACGCTTCATTTTGTCTGCGTGTGGGTCACCTGTTGCATCTACTGGACTGGCTTTGGGACGAAGGCCAACAAATGCGAAGCGAGGACGAACGAGTGGTTTGTCCGGAATATTCTTCCCATCGCTTTAAGCAACCCCTTGACGGTCGTCTTCAACAACACCGCCCTCGTCTACGCCGGGGCCGGCGTCTGTGCAATCCTAGGGACTCTCTCCCCTGCCATCTGGCTAATCTGGTTATCTTAAATATTGACAGTTGATTCAAAAAGGTTCTTTTCATCGCTGAGGTCAGCGTGGCTGTGCTCTCATACCTGGTTGGCCGGAGGCTCAGCTTGATGTCCTGGTTTGGGGTTTCAGTGGCCTGCTGCGGGGCTTTGCTGATTGCAGCGGGCGAAGTGAAGTCCATCGGAGCACAGAGCGCGCCGGAGCGAACTCTCGTTGGCATCCTTTTTGCATTGGCCTCTGTGGGCACTCGCTCTCTGAAAATCGTGGTCATGGACTTTCTCCTTGCACCGATGGAGTATGCATCCGAACTGAGCCCTCTGAAGGAGGTGAGCCCAATGAGCCCCATGCAACTCTATTCCTTGCAAGCGCCCTGGTGTGTGCTTACGGCCTTCGTTTTCGCAGTATGCACCGACAGCTTCCCAGAGGCCTTCGCGGAGCTTACACGGGATGCTGCAGTGCTGATCTCTTTCACCTGTGTCAGCGCTGTCGCTCTGAACTTCCTTGGAGTCTTCGTCTTGAAGGAGCTCGGCGCCAGCTCCCAGCAGATCTTGGGCAAGCTCAACACCTTGATGGTCGGGGCCATTTCCGTGGGCTACTTGAACGAGAAGGTCTCCATGACGGTCCTTCTGGGCTCCGGAGTCGTTCTCTCCGGCGCCTTCCTCGTGGAGCTCGGCAAGGAGGGCTTGAAAAAGGATTTCAAGAGCCTCCCCGAGCCCAGCAAAGTCTGAGAGAGAGAGCGCTTCTTTCTTCTTTCGCCCCCTGCGCTCTCCTCCAAACGGAGCTGACCGAGCGAGCGGGTCACCGAAAGCAGCCTGAGAGCTGGGCCGAATGCCAATAAACCAAGACCAAAACCCCGATCAGCCGCCCCCATGAGTGCCATTGCAGTCTGTGCCGCCTTTTTTTTTTGCAGGTGCCCGGCCGGGTTGTCTCTGCTCCTTTTCGGCTCTCAGCTCCCGTTCCCGCTCTCCCGCTCTCCCCCGCCGGCCGTTCCCGGCCGCTCTCGGCCGCCGGCCTGCAATGTGCGCGCCTGAGCCATAGCTCAGGGCTTTTGAGAGGGAGGGCTGTCGCGGGAAGCTCAGCAGCTCAAAGCTGTGCCAATGCGTTCCTTCCAATCCTCGGAGATTTGCTTCGGGGAGAGAGAGCAGGGCTCTGCCCACTCGTCCTTTTTGTTAGCCGAGTCCGTCTCTCTCTCTTCTTGGGCGCTCTGAGGCTCTCCTAGCCGGTCTCTCTGAGACGTATGGAATGTCCAAGTGGCGCTCCCATCGAGGAGCTGAGAGTCTTCGGCCTAGGCCCCTTGAAGGGGGGGGGGGGGCTGAGCCAAGCTCTGAACTCTCTCTTTTGGCAGAGGCGCCGGGCTCTTCGGCCTCGGCCTGACGCTGATCGCAAGTGTCCCGGTCTTTGCCTCGACCTCAGTCGAAGAGAGAGAGAGAGAGAGAGAGAGAGAGAGAGAGGGGCGTGTTTGAGAGAAGCCCGTGTCAGTGTTTTCCGTGATGTTCGTTCAGTCTGAAGCATTCTGGGACGAGGCCGCCGTGTCCTGCGCCGTGAGGCTGTGGAGCGGGTTTGGTCAGCGGGTTTGATAAACATCTTTTGGAAGCACGTGTCCGACGTGGTCAGGTCCTGCCGACCGGGTGGCTTCTGTGCTGTGCTCCTTGCGAACCTGGCCTTGCCTCTCGGCCTCTAGGCCTCTAGGCGTAGGCCCCAAGAGTACTTGTGGCCATCAGACGACTCCCCCCAGAATCCAAGAGAGTTGATCCTTTTGCCGCGTCTGCCTGGCGGTTCCTTCAAGAGGTTCTTGGTGTGGTTTCATCTGGCCACGACACGCAGATCTAAGGGCACTCTTCCTTGTCCTCCTCCCGAAGGACTGAGACCGTCGATTCGCATGACAGTCACATCGGAGTGTTGAGAGCCTTGAGCCAATCATCTTTCA